GCTGCTCCTGGCCCTGGCCACGCTCCCCAGGCCCCGAGTACCTGCCTCCCAGGGTTGGGTTTTCAGGGTTTCTCTACAGGGAGCCTCCAGCAATGGGGACAGGGTGTGCAGAGCCCTAAAGCAAAGGGCAGGGAGACAGCAGCCCCAGCACGGTCCCATCAGCGAAAGAGCCAGGAGGCTGCTGGGGGTGTGTAGAGGGCAGGGAGGTTAATTGTCAGGTAGCTGTGGGAATGTGTAACTGCTGGAAATGTTAGCAGCTATGCATTAACACGGGGGGGGGGGAGGCTGGCACGCACAGGGAAATGTTAGCTACATGTTTGCACACGGGGTTGGTACACATAGGGAAATGTTAGCTACACATTTACACACGGGGGGACAGGCGTGAGGGCACGCAGGGAAATGTTAGCTACACGTTTATACACAGGGTTGGCACACGGGAATGTTAGCTACACGTTTACACGCGGGGGGACAGGTGTGAGACAGCACACACAGGGAAATGTTAGCTACACGTTTACACACGGGGTTGGCACACGGGAATGTTAGCTACACGTTTGCACACGGGGGACAGGTGTGAGACGGCACGCACAGGGAAATGTTAGCTACACGTTTACACACGGGAGGGCTGGCGCACACAAGGAAATATTAACAGCTACAGGTTTACACACAGGGAGCAGGCAGGTGGGAGCTGGCACTCATGGGGAGCCGGCTTTTAAGCGGGCTTCTCCGGAGCATTGGTTCCCCCTTCGAACCTCCTGCGTGGCTGGCTCTGTGGGAGGTGACGGCGGGGAGGGGGAGGCGGCTCTGCGGACGCCGGCAGGCACGGAGAGCCGGCTCCCTGTGCGTGCCAGCTCCCACCTCCCCGCCCCCACCTCTGATGCAGAGGCAGCGAGGGGGGTGGGGCGTGTAGTCGGTCGTATTAAGCCCAGGGGTATCGGTTAATTGCGTTGGCCTCCCTTGCAGAGGGTGAAGGGGATGGTTTGACTCTGAGCAGGGCCCACGGCACGGACCAGCCCCCCTGGGGAGGAGGCGTAGCCCGTGGAGACCACAGGGGGGGGGACTAGCGAGACAAGGCGGCCTGAGTTCTGCTCCTTGGGCAGAAGCCCCACAAGACACTGAATTCCTCCCCCCAAGAACTGTGCTGGCAGGGGGGCCGCGGCTGCCGTGTCCCCCCCA